TGATTTGATGTTGGCTTGGAAATGATAGCAGAATCTAGGTTCCTCCCTCTGTCCCAGTAAGTGATTGATTTGATGTTGGCCATATATTTGGCAGTGGTGTGAAGAAAGACTGCTGAACTCAGCAGTAAGATTACAGTTACTGTGTGTCTCTTTGAAATATATAGATGAGGACTCAAACTGAATGACAGGTGTACTTAATGCAATAGCTGATATGTCTGTATGGTTGGGGTGTGTGGGTAGTATAATACTTACTGGGATTAAAGAATTCATTGCTTTCCTCGCCTGCCAAAAATGCTTGTTTCATTGCTCTTTTTGCATTGTGAGGAAATGTCCTGTTGGTCTTCCCCTCCTCAGCTTCTGAGATCTTGGTAACTATCCGTTTTCCCAGCAGCTGCTATTTGCATTTTTAAAATGTACCTTTAAACTCAGGGGACTGGTTTGGCCCTTATTTTTGATATTATATTGTGTTTTCTTGCTAACATTTCATCTTTTAATTACAAAATACTGTGATGTGAAGGTTGCTTCTGTTTTAATATTGTTATAATTGTTGTTTGCATTCCTATAAACTATACTACATATCTATTTGCAGCATATACACACAGAGTTGTAAGAAAAAAAGTTCCCAGTTGGTTATGCCCACAGGAATGTAACTATTGGCTGATACATGACTGGCTTTGTAACAGTACTATATTAAAAATATTAACAGAAAAAATCCTTGTAATATATATAAAGATGAAGTTACCAGAACTGGTCATAGAGGGAGCCAGAGATCACACTATGTGAGTAGTGTTTGCCCGCAAAATATATTTCCATACTGTCATTAACAGAACTGGTCACTAGAGGCAGCCAGGGACCACACTATATATAGCCTTCACTATAAAAATACTGTAGTATTCTCTATAATTGGATTTTTCAGCAACCACAGAGAGGCTTGTAACCAATCCGTCGCAGATATGGGGTCCTTCTGTAAATGTCATGATGTAGCAAAGATGTCTCCTGGTGATGCCATTAAGTATAATTAGGAATAGTGATTAAATATTTTTATATTAACTAGTTTCTACTCAGTTTTATTATTTCATTTGTTTGTTCTTTAAAATGGTCAGAAGGTTGTGTTAGCAGGGAAACACTCAGCTTTGTATCTTTCATTGTTATGCTTGCAGCATTAAAGATCTGGTTTTGATTCTGTTTTCAGCACAGCTCCTCTGTAAGTGACTTGCTCAGTTTTCTAATGTTCTCTGTACCATAGATTCAGGATTTCTACTATTGATGTTCTCCCAAGCATCGTTCTGTCAAGTTGTAAGGAGGATTTTGCAGCACAAGGGGTGCAGATCTATGATGAAATGGCTGTCTGTGTGCTTGTTGTGATACGTAGTATGCTTCTTTTGTGATTGTGTCAACTGTAACTCCATGCAGTGTAGTAGCACCTCTGCATGTATAACCTAGTATTTGTTTAGTTCCAAGACTGTTATCAAGAAAGTGATTATCCTTAGCTAGTGGGATATTATACAGGAGACAGTCCCTTCCCCACCTGTTTTCTCCAGCTCTGCTGGATTCCAATTCTTTTCATCTCCAAAGCGATATCTGGAAGGCACTAAGTTTGGGAAGGGTGTTTGTTCTAAAGTATTTTAGGCCCATCATATAAGCTTCAGAGATCAAGACTAGCACTTTGAGTCGCTCTTGGCAGTAGAATGGAGCACCAATTTTAGACTAAACAGCCAACTTCAAGAGCAGGGTGCTTCATTCTATCAGATGCAATTCCTAAATACATTCCAAAGATACTTCCTTTCCCAGATGCATTTGTACTGGATGGTAGGGACCCACCAAAGTATTTTTATCTGGTGGATTTTATCGAAATTTTATACAAGTTCCCAATTGATAATGCCACGAGAATGGTATATTACTGGCTCTTGTGTTTGAAGTCTTGATTGTTTTAAACTAGGTGATTCTACCCTATGGTTCATACTCTGGTAGAAAACAATAAATGTCTATTTGTTGCTCAGTCTCACTTGAAGCCAGTGGGAATATATCTAGAAAAAGAACTGCTATATTCTTCCTCCTTAAAAATAGATGACTAGGGAGTCAGAAATAATTTGATCCCATGAACCATAATTCTCATAACTGCTAAATAATAATTATGATCCCGCAGTTAAAAGAATATGTATTCTTTCAAATGCCTGAATGTCTGGATGTTTATCTTTTAATTTTATTATTATTTTGTATTAGGCTCCCGTAAAGAATCTGCTCCCCAAGTGCTGCTTCCAGAGGAAGAGAAAATTATTGTAGAAGAAACAAAAAGTAATGGTCAGACTGTGATAGAAGAAAAGTAAGACAACCTTTTAAGCAAATGATGCATTTTAAGCAGTCCATCCTCTTGCAAACAGGAAGTTTTGTGTGATACGTTCGTTGTGTCTGAACTGAATTCTGATGTGCTTTGTGGTTTTATTTTTTTAAGAGATGAATATCCTACTGGAATTCATTTGCTGAACTGCCTGTGATGTGCATGGTCAGACCTGTGCAGCTCATTTAGACCAATTTCAACACTCTTGAGTTCTCTAACCTTTCTGTTTGCATCTTTCTTCCTTCATCCTTGTACCACCTGGGAATTGATCAGTTTTGTGGGTAAGGTGGCATTCTTGAGTGCTCTGGGATTTCTTATTAATATGTAGGTGTTTTAATATTTTTAAAAATATATCTTTTGTATGAACACACAATTAAAGACCTATTTTATCTCAACAACCCATTAAAATAAATAAGATTGGGAGTGAACGGCATGCAATAGGAAACAGCTTCCTGATCAAGGAAAGAGATTTCCTGCTGCCTCGTTGCATAAACTGTTTTTGGGGAAAGGGGCTAAATCAAAAATGTGGTGGAAGAGACCGAAAAGATTGGGAAGTGGGTGGGAGGTGGGAAGACAGGGAAGATGTTTGCTGTTTTGTTCCCTTCCTTTGTTCATCCTGAATTATATGGCTTCTGATTTGAAACCATGTATATTGATAATTCTTGATGTTATTTTTTTAAGTCTTTACAATTTTTGAAAGTATTTTATCTTAATTTTCTGTTTTAGAAGTCTTGTTGACACAGTATATGCATTAAAGGATGAAGTACAAGAATTAAGACAGGTTGGTAAAAGATAACGTAACATGCTTTATCAATGCAGATGGCAGGATGGATAGTACGTAGTGGGGTGCAACTGGTCTACCTTTTGGAGGGATTTTGGAGGGATTGTGCTGGAGAACTAGCAAAAGAAAATCTGTAGGCCTCAGTGACCAATGAATTACAGTATATAGCATACCATCAGTGCTGGACTGGCGTGGGAGCCGTCTTCTTTTCATGCTTCTTGCACCATACACTGTAATGGCAAGTGTATAGAAAAGCAGCAGATGTTGTAGCATGTTCCTACCAGTTCCTTTAGATCAGACACTTAGGTGACTGTATGGGCCATCCATCTACATGACTTTGCTATCCTGCTACCGCTATCAACATTATTCATTTTGAGTCAGCATTACTGGGTGTAGCTCTTTGTTTCCTCACTGCTGTTTTTCTCTCTGGTGCCATGAAGGTCCCATTGATCTGTATGCTTTGTTCTTCTGTGCTTTGAGTCAAGTTCATACCACAAAGCTGGAAAATCGTAATTGCTAACAGCAGCAGCAACACATCAACAACAACAATCCTGTGTAAATCAAGGTGGCCAACATGGCCTGTGGGATGTAGGCAAAACCTTGGGGCCCAAATGCATCTCCTGCCTATTTGGGGTTCCACAGCATTCCCACACCCCCTAATTTTTAAATAATTTTTTAAAAAAGAAAAACAGTTTGGTCCAGCTAGTCCAGTTCTGCCCTCTGCGGGCTTGTGGGGCAGTCGGGCAATGTTTTGAGGAGCCGTCCAGCACCCGGGGGGGGGGCACTGTGCCAGTTATTACATCTTTTAGTAAAAATTGCCACTAGAGGATGTAGGGAACTTTTTCCAATAAGAACACCCAATTTGTATAAGGAAAAAAAATAATGGGTTGGGGTTTTCAGATTACATCCAGCTCTCCAAGGTCCAGGGGGAGGCAAGGGTGGCCTTTGGATGTTGTCCATTGAGATAGGAAAAAAAACTATGTGTGAAGACAGACAGACCAATGAGGGATCTGTACAATTACTCTCTGCAGCCCCATGGCAGCTATGAATCTCTTCTGATTTTTGATAACGGTTGCATTGTTTATGCAAATATATTCTTCATTACATGGGAAAATAAAGCCAAGTGCAAGCAGCAACAGTGTAGATGAAAGTTAAAGAAACTCACATCCAGAATTGTAGGCAGAACACTAGACTTATATCATGCTGTCTTAGTCTGTGCTAGGATATCAGGCAAAACCAAAAAGAAAAAAAAGATAAAGAAAATGTTGTAGCACTTGAAAGACTAACCACAACATTTAATCTGAGCTTTTGTGGACAAGTCCGCTTCCTAAGACATGAGAGCTCACATTAAAATATAGCAGTTAGTCTTTAAGGTGCCACAATATTTTCATTGTCCTATTTTTAATTTTTCTTTTTTCTTTGCCTAACATACTAGCTTTTTGCAGAATTTTGGTCTCATGATTTTAGTTTATAAACCAAATATTAATGTCTTTTAGTCATAGACTAAAAGAAATAAAAGTGACTATTCAGCTTTAGAACTGTTTGATGTTTGTGGTTGTCATTGGAAGTCAGCAAAAGTATGCTCATAAATGGCTTATATTTTGCCTTTATTGTACTACCTCCTTACGTCCTCGTAGTAGCATTTGACTTTCCTACAGTGAATTGGAGCTATTTTGCATACGGTGATGTTTGTACATAGGCATTAATTGTAATCCAATGGTAAACTGGTGCTCTGCTGTTTGTGAACCATAAGAGAATATATATTTCAGTTGCTAAAGCGGCAATGAATGCATGTTCAGTTTGAGAAACGACAGTGTCTTAGATGTGACATAAACCACAGTATAAAAAAGATTCAGCTTCTAAAGGTGGAGAACAACTTACCAGACATGTGCTTCATACATCCATGTGTGAACCAGAATACAGTTGTCCTTTTAAATTTATACTGTATACATGAAAAATAAAGGAAAAACATTAAATAAGGAAATATAAAATGGAAAACGTTTTGCAAAATATATGTATATTAGGAGATGGATACAGGAGTATCAAAGAAGAACTGCAAACCCGTAGAAAAATGGTGGAACAAACATAATGCTAGAAAAAAAGAGAACATAAGAAAAGCAACAATTGCCATGGTTATCGTTTCCTATTTAGTTTAAATTAACATTGTTCAGCACTGTTCCGTAATTGTTTAGAAAGTATTATTATTATTATTGTTTCAGTTTATAGTGCTAAGCACTCCCTGGATGGTTTATTACTTAATTATGCAAGGCAACACATTGCCCCCACCCCAAGCAAGCTGAGTACTCCTTTTCCCAGCCTCAGAAAGACAGAAGGTTGAGACAACCTTGAGCCGGTTACCTGATCCCATCAGGATCAAACTCAGATGATGAACAGGGGCTTGACTGCAGTACTGCAATTTAACCACTGCATGATGGGGCTTACATACTGTGAAGTAGTATGAATGGGAAGTTGTATTTGAACATATATACATATGCTCTTTTTTCTCTTGATTTAAATTGCCACGATTGAAGCTAAGGCACTCTGACAGTTTCATGGGAATTATCATTCAAAAAAGCAAGAGCCTTTCCATGAATTCACTACCCTCAAAGTGCCAAATCCACAGGTTGATGTTCCTTGTTCTTGTATACCATTGCTAAGTCTGGATGTGGGGCAACAGCCTGTCAGATTCCAAGCTTCAGCCATGGAATTGTATTTATGTGACAACCAGATAATTCTAGATATAATTCCTTTTGTGGATACATAAACCATTGAATACTGTCATAATTTCAGTGGTAATATATGAGCAATGATAGGTAACTACGTGGATACTCAGTGTGTTATATGGATAGAGTAATAGACTAGAACTTGGATTTGATTCCCTGGCTCTGCCATGGAAACTCACTGGGGGAGTGGAACTGATAAAACCACTCCTTAAACATGTCACGTTGAACCCAGTTATAAGTCAGTTCTGACGTGATAGCACATAAGAATATCAGGTACCAGGTAAATATATCTTATCAAAGGCGGGAGAAGGCAGGGGCCTTTGATAAATTATATATACTTAGCATTATTCACATATCTAAGATGCCCACAGTGTTGCTTCTGACAAGTTATTTCTCTCTTATGCACATGGATTCTGTGCTTGTATGAAGCCTCATTTAGTAATTCTTTAATTTGGAACTAAGCTTTTCTGAGAATGATTATGGCAGCAATGTTTTGTTCTACTGAAAGAGGCCAGCGATCTGGACTTAGCATTACTCCTGGAAGGCTAAGCAGCCACTTGTGGCGAGGAGTGCCTCTGCTTCCACTGGCGTGCTAGCTGACCACCTTCTCAGGCAAAGTAGATTTGGCTACAGGGAACCATGTCTTGATTAGTAATGCACTCTACATGAAACTGGCCTTGAAAATTGGAGTTAACAGCTTGCACGAAATGTGGCAGACAGACTGTTGTACGTATGGTATGTGCTTTATCACATAGCTCCTGAACCAACTGCACTGGTTCCCAGTGTGCTCCCCAGTTAAACTCAAAATACTAGTTTTGATCTTGTTGTTGTTATGTGCTATCAAGCCTCACCCAATTTATGGTGACCACATGAATGAGCCATCTCCAAAATGCCCTGTCCTCAACTGCCCTGCTCATCTCCTGAAAACTCAAGTCTGTGGCTCCCTTTAGGGAATCAATCCATCTCATATTTGGTCTTCCTCTTTTTCTGCTGCCTTCTGCCTCTCCCAGCATTATTATAATACAAAATGTTGTATTCTCATGGTGTGCCCAAAGTAGGACAGCCTCAGTTTCAACATTTTAGCCTCCAGGGATAGTTCAGGCTTGATTTGATCTAGGATTCACTTGTTTCTCCTTCTGGCAGTCCAGAGTATTCACAAAGTTCTCCTCGAGCGCCACATTTCAAGTGAATCAATTTTTTTCTGTCAGGTTTCTTTACTTTCCAGCATTCACACTCATACGTGGTGATCAGAAAAGCAAGAGTGTGGATGGTCTTCGTCTTTATCTCCAGTGGCACATCCTTGCACCTAAAGATCTTTTTTTAGTTTGTTCATTGTTGCCCTTCCTAGTCCCAGTGTTCTTCTGATTTCTTGGCTGCAGTCTCCATTGGAATTAATGGTTGAACCAAGGTGTTCAGAGTTTCTGACCACTTCAATTTCTTCATTGCCAAAGTTGTATATTTTCTTTATAGTTATGATTTTGGTCTTCTTGGTGTTTAACTGCAGTCTTGCTTTGGCACTTTCTTATTTCACTTTCACTAAAAGTCATTTCAAGTCATTGCTGCTTTCTGCCAGTAAGATAATGTTATCTTCATATCTGAAATTATTGATGTTTCTTCCACCAGTTTTCACTCCTCCTTCATCTAAATCTAGTCTGGCTTTCCATATGATATGTTCTTTGTGCCGAGTGAACAGACAAGGAGACAAAATGCATCCTTGTTTGACCCCTTAGCTTATAGGAAACCATTCTGCTTCTCCGTATTCTGTCCTAACAGTAGCTTCTTGTCCACAGTATAGGCTACACATCAGGATGTGCTGAGGCATATCCATTTCTTTCAGAACTACCCATAATTTCCCAGGATCTGTACAGTAAAAGGCTTTGCTGAGTGTATAAAGCATAGATTGATCTTCTGAAACTCCTTGGTACTGTCCAGTAGCCAGTGAATATTTCAGTTTGATCTCAGCTGTCCTTTTTCAAAATCCATCTTGAATATCAGGCATTTCTTACTCCACGTAAGGTAAAAGCCTTTGTTTTGACACCATGAGCTTAACTTTGCTTGTATGGGAAATTAAAGCAATATTATAGTAACTGCACTCCTTGGCATCTCCTTTCTTGGTAATTGGAATATATGTTGAATGTTGCCAGTTTGTGGATCATTATTTTGTTTTCCATATTTGTTGGCATATTCTTGTTAGGATTTTGATAGATTTAGCCTCTGTGGGTTGAAAGAATTCTGTCAGTATTCCATGTACTCCTGGTGATTTATTTATTTCCAGTGATTTCAGATTAGCTTTCTCTTCAATTTCTGTAATTGCAGACTCTTCATCATAGGATTCCTCTTCAAAGGAGTCTGTCAGCATTTTGTCTCTTCTGTATAGGTCTTCAGTATATTGTTTTAATCTTCTCTTTGTTTTCTTCTGGTCAGATAGTGTGTTTCCTGTTGGTCATTCAGCATTCCTAATCTAGGTTTGAATTTCCATTTCCCAGTTTTGATTTCCAAAACCCTAAATAGCTTGAGGTTGGGGTATCTGAAGGACCACCACCTCCCCATACAGCTTCACACAGAATTTGTAATTATCAATCTGTTGTAGTGTTTTGGAGGCTGGGTTGGCTAGTATGTGAGACAGGGCTTTCTCTGTAGAAGCACCTTGATGGTGGAGCTCTCTCCAAAGGGAAGTCAAGGGCACTTGTCTCTTGGCTTTCCAGTAGGAGATCATAAGTCCCCCCCCCCACCTCCTTTCAGTACACCTCTCACATCTTGGTTTCTTGAAGTGAGGTAGTCAATTAGAACTCAAAAAGATCTTCATAGGCTTGAGCAAGAGGCTGAAAACAACAGGATGAAATTTGACAGGTACAAGTGCAAAGTTCTACACCTAGGAAAAACCCAAATTCATAGTTACAAGGGAAACTTGGTTCAGTATTACTACGTGTGAGAAGGATCTTGAAATTGTGGATCAAAAGCTGAGTATGAGCCAACAGTGCAGTGTGGCTGCAAAAAAAGCAAATGTGATTTTAGAATGCATTAACAGAAGTAGTCTCCAAATCCTGTGAGGTACTAGTTCCCCTCTATTCAGCACTGGTTAGGCCTCTTCTAGAGTACTGTGTTCAGTTTTGAGGCCTAACCACCACACTTTGAGAAGGATGTCAAAAAACTGGAGCAAGCTCAGAGGAAGGCAACAAGGGTGAAGGCAACAAGAGCTACAAACCAAGCCCTATGAGGAAAGACTGAAAGAACCAGCCCTGGTTAGTCTTGAGAAAAGAAGACTAAGATAGCACTTTTGAAATACAGTGGTGCCTCGCTTAACGAGCGCACCATTTAATGACGAATTCGCATAGTGACGCGTTTTTTACAATCGCTTTTGCGATCGCATTGCGATGTTTAAATAGGGTAAACATCGCATTGCGATGATCGGTAAGTGTTTCGCTTACCGATCTTTGCATTGCGATGTTTTAGAACAGCTGATCGGCGGTTCCAAAAGGGCTGCCGGATCAAGAAAATGGCTGCCCACAGCGTTTTCGCGCCGATTCCTCACTTACCGAGGCGGTGAAAATGGCAGCCCTATGGAGGATTCCTGCTTAGCGGCGAGTTTATCCCCCATAGGAACGCATTAAACGGAGTTCCTATGGGGTTTTTTGCCCCGTATAGCGACGTTTCCGGATAGCAACGATTTATCTGGAACAGATTATTGTCGCTATGCGGGGCACCACTGTACTTGAAATATAGCCATTCATACAGAAGGAGGGGCAGGATCTGTTGTGCAGGATATGTAATAATGGGCTCAAGCTATAGGAAGCCAGATTTAGGCTGAATATTGGGAAAAACAACTGTTAAAGCAGTATGACAATAGAACCAGTTACCTTTTGGGGTGGTATGCGCTCCCAATGCTGGAAGCATTCAAGATAAAATTGAACAACCATCAGTCAGATCTGATTTGATTTGGAATCTTGCATTGAGAAGGGGGTTGGACGTGATGGCCTTCTAGGCACCTTCCAACTCAATTGTTCTAATACAGTATTCCATTTTATGACCTCACTGAAAGAGTGGAAACTACTTCCTTTGAGAGTGTCTAGTGTACTAGGAGTAGGAGGGCAAACTCTTACCTCCAAATCATTCCAAAAGAAATTCTGTGCAAGCTCAGAACCCATATGTGTGAATGCAAAGATGGCAATTTAAAAAAGGACTGCAATTTCAGATATGCAACCTCTTCTTAACTCTTCTCCCATCTCTGACCTGTTTCTATTGTAGTAGTTGTTCTGGGTATTTGGACCATGTAGAATTTTAGGCCTTCTTTACTTTGAATGGGATTATTTAATGATATGCTGTTTGAACTTATTTATATGGGTTTTCTGGTTTGATATGTTTTCTGGCCAATAGGTATATATTTCTGCATTACTGTAAGAACTGTTGTTGTAGAATGACTATCCAGTAAATTCAGTCAGTTAGGTTTTTGTTATTTCACTTTGATTAGTCATTTTGACCGTTTCCCCCCTCTGTTCAGGCTACAAAAAGGGGGTAAAGGTTTACAACAGACTTGCACTGAACAAGCTCTTGTACAGGGCCCGCTTTATAAAAGCAGACATCTTGATGGGCAGCAACATTTTAGCCATTCAGAACAACTTAACATATTATGTTTGTCTTTTGTTTGCCAGGATAACAAAAAGATGAAGAAATCGCTGGAAGAAGAACAGAGAGCTCGCAAGGAGCTTGAAAAGCTTGTTCGGAAAGTTCTAAAGAGTATGAATGATCCTTCTTGGGATGAAACCAATTTATAACAAATTTACCATTTTTTCCTTTCTTTCTTTCTATTGAAAGACCAGTTGTCAAATCAAGCTGGGAAGTCTTCTGACATTTAGTCAGTATTTCATAAAGAGCACTACAAAGCAGGACTTAACTGGATCTAATGATTTTCTTTCTTTCTTTCTTTCTTACAATGTATAGTAATATTCAGTCTGTTCACTGAAGCTGTCTGTTCTTAAATGTAGATAGCATGGACCCGTGAACTTGAGTAGACCTAACTTGTTTGCATTTAAATTACCTCATCTTGCAGCAAGTGCAACAGCTGGCTGAGAAGTCCCTTGTGTTTCCCCTTACACAACACACCCTTGTAAATACCTGTAATTTTGAATGCATATGTGATCAGTGTATCAGGGCTGATAATAGTGTTATACTTTCTTCTTGTAATGGTTGCAGCTAAGCAGCAAACTTGGTGGTGGCTGATGCTCTCCTAAAATTTATTGAAAACTGTGTGCTGTTCCAAGAGGAATTGTTTCGAATTGTTCCAAATACAAGAGACCTCAGTTGCAAAAATGTTTTTTTTATTTTCCAGCATATTTTCCAGTATTTACCAGTCTGTTTTAATAATCTAATTAAATTTATTTATGTTTGTTTAAACCTTCAGACACAATCTTAATGGGCTTTTTGAAAAACACCAAACTGTTTAAGGAGTAATTGTCAGTTGGCACCATTTCATATTAAAGCTCATATCTTAAGGTCCAAGACTTGTTTCTTTGAGCATGCTGATACTCAGAATAGCCAATTAAAGGTGGATGTGCTTGCTCTTTTTTAGTGCTTAGTTATTAGATGATTTGTGTACTACATTTTTAAACTATTGTGCATATACTTTAGCATACAACTGACTAGTATTTTAATGGATCACTCAGACACTATTGTCAAAACAAAAGAGTGAATCAAGGATGCATGGGTTTGTTGGGGGCATTGAATAAAATATATTATTTATTTTTAAATAACCAGTTTTTTTTCCAGCAAGGTTTAGTTAACATATGCATGGAGAACATTTGAATGGGAAACTCATCTCTGTGGCCTGACATTTGATTTTTCACTATTGTGCAAAAAAGCACCCCTTTCCCCAAGATCAAGTAAAATAATAATCCATTTGCCTTCCTTAGAGTTTTACAATATCTTTTTTAAAAGAAAAAAATAGTGTTTGGGGACAATATCACACACACACCTCCGTTATTCTTAGTCATTATGATTAAGCTTCGGTTATGTTGGAAAGCACGGAGATCCTATGATGAAGAATGGCACTGAAACGTTTGTATGGATCATCTGAAACTCAGTAATGTCCAGTTTGAGCAATGTGTATGTAAATATATTTTAAATTACTATCGTAGTCGTGTAAAATGTCTTGAGCTGAAGGTTGCTCATCATTTCCAAAGGTAAAAGAGTTGTCACATTTCCAATTTTATTGCTAAGTTTGGATGTGATCCTACAGCAGACCAACACATCATGAGAGACAGAATATTGATGCTAAAAAAAGCATCCCCATTTGGAGCGTTTTCCTTCTCTATTACATGGTAAAATTGTCACAATCATCTTGACAGCATTGCATGGGTTACTCACCTCCCACCTTCCTGCTCTGGAGTAGGAAAGCAACTGGTGATCTACAGCAGAACATGGAGGTCCACTTATTGCAGGCTACAAGGGGAGAGACTCCAACCCAGAATTGCCATGTAGAGGAGCAGGCCCATTATTCCTGTGCCCTGTAATTTTACCCCTAAAAGGTGACACATGTTTGAGATAATTTTATGTTGTGTAACTGACTAATTGATGAAGCAGGCATGAAACATGTTTCATCCCTGCTCATGAAACAATAAGGCTCAGCTATTTATTATTTCTTGCTGGCAGCAACCAGAAATGGGCAGCTATATTTCCGTTGAAAATAAATGGTTATTGTCGCAATAAAAGAGCTGATGTGGCTCCTTATTTTGTGAGATGGCTTTGTAAATTCTTTGTTTTAGAACTGGGCTCAGATTCACAAAGATATATGCCTATTTAAATGTTGCATAAAATAAGTTGTGCTGGTCTGTAAAAAGAAATCCTTTATTAGGTCTAACCCAATATACACAAAGTTGCAGTCAAGCTTTACAAATTGCAAGACTGTTTGTTAATGATTGCTCTTCATTTCTAATACCACAGTCCCATGAAAAGCCATGCAGTCCAGTTATACATCTATGATGCCATGTTAATAAGCAGAAGGGAAAGAGAAAAGGCCTGCTCCCTTCCCTGAGAAGTTCATACTATACATTTTTGATTGTTCATACATGCACCCTCATCAAGTAGTCAGGGCTGGTAGTGGGAGGAAGCAAGTGGCCAAACATTCTGTCCCCCTCAACCACTCCAGATTTTTCTCTGGCAGGCAAGAATCATTCTGCAGTCTTTGGATAGACTTAAAAGCATTAATTTCTCCCATGCATCAAGGAGTTTCATTTCTCTATCTGTGCTGTGGAGGATGGCATCTGGCCATTGTCTAGGTAGTATTTAGAGAGAGGAGGGGGAGGTATATGTTTTAAAAAATTGGTGTAAGAACAGGTGCCCCTTTCTCCTGGTGATTACAAACATCAGGATTGAAAGCTAGAGGGAGGCAGGGGAGAAGGAATGGGTCAGGAAGGCAACCTTTTGGTTCGTTTCAGCTCTCTCCTGCTGGCTCGGTGCTGGGACAGGAACCCAACCCCCCTTTTTTCTGCCCCAAATTGAGTGACCACAACTGTGCAGCATGACCTGAAACCTATTCCTTCCAATTGGACATATTCATACCAGAATCAGTGATTAATAAAATAAGTGATGTTTCTTCTTCGTGGACTCTGTGAATTCACACTAATGAGTTAAATTGCGCCTGCGCAGAAACTTTGAAATATTCCAGAGCTTATTATATAAGTAAAGAAACATTTCCATACACTGCCCATGCTCCGCCAGCCCTGAGGTACCTCAGTTCCTTTTTAATGCCACCTCAATAGGAATACTTTTCGTGTTCGCTAGAGCTTAAATTCTATTATCCCTTAGTTGACAATTGGATCGTTTCTGTTTCTGCTTGATTATCTGGATTCCTTGACACTGACCACTTTGGTTATTGAAAATTTCCTGCTGATTTGGTGTTTCGGTTGTTCTCTTGACTCGGACTGTTTTGACTTCGATTTTCTTGCTGGTTTTGGTCGGTTGGATATCCCCCTTTTGAAATTGGACTGCTTACGAATTGATTTTGTCTTATTAATCGATTTGGCTATGTATGTTTGGAGTGTCTACTTGTGTATGATCGTTGGACTGCTTAATGTTCCGAATAATTCTTCAGTGGTTCTTTTCAATTTTCCCGCCAATTTTTATGGTCTGTTCGGGACCTTACAATTGCTGTGTATCGTGCTCCAGAAATATCCCACTTACCGACAGGCACGATCTCTGATTCTTGCAAAGAGTGCAAGAAGTTAACTAAAACTGCTCTGAAGCACCGAATTCAGCAGCTTTGTTCTTATCTTTACGAGCAATCGTTAGCTCCCTCTGTTCTGCCGGCAATTGAGTCACCCATCTGTCTTCTTCGACTCCGTGCCCTGAGAGCGTCACTTCTCCAGCCTCCCTGGCTTCATCCTCTAAGAAGGCTTCTTCAGATGTATTGAAATCTAAGAAGTCTTTGGCAGCAGAGTCCAAACTGAGTGTTATGACCCAGTCTAAAGGTCTTAAGAAGAAGAGAGATGCAGAGAAAGCAGAAAAAGTCTAAACACCCTCAGGCTCCAGCTGTTTTACTTTCACCGGCCCTGGACAAATCTTCTAGAGAGACATGAGTCAAGTGCGGTGTTGGGCACCGCCGAGATCGACTCTCGTAAGGATCAGGAGGTTTTGCTATCATTTCTGAGTCTATCTCCGACCTCTGGCCACGGAGCGGCTGAGATGTCTTCCAGCCCATTCAAGCCCTGTTTCAACCGGGTGGGCTACTGTTGTGGAGCTTTCCAACTCTAAGGTCTCGCTGTCTCAATCACGCCAGAAGAAGCTCCAGAAACGTAAGCATGTTTCGCCCGATTGTTGCCCCTTCCAACACCGAGAGGTCTTGGCACGTTTGCACTCTTCTCGATGTTGCGCTCAAGCGAAACACCATGAGCCTATTTATGTTGAAGTGGACCGTCATCGAGGTTGGTGCAGACACTGGGAGGACTATTTTGACTCCGAATATGACTCAGGGCTTCAGGTGGTGATGGACAACATGACCACCGTTTATTATATAAACAAACAGGGCGGCACACATTCATTGCCCCTCCTATATCTGGCTGTACATCTCTGGGAGTGGTGCTATGCTCACCACATATTTACGATTGCCATACATGTGGCTACAGAAGACAATGAAGTGGCGGATCACCTGAGTCAGTTGTCTATGCAGATGCACGAATGGGAACTGGATGATTCTATGTTCCGCGAGTTATGCAATATGTGGGGCACATCTCAGATCGATGTATTTGCCAACCATCACAACACGGAATGCCCCCGTTTCTGCTCTCGAACAGGAAGAGGCAAGGGCTCAATGGGGGACACCTTCATGGTCAGGCAAGACAGGATGTTCCTTCACCTTTCCCCCCCCTATCATGTTGATACATAGGACAATCCTTCATGTCCTTTGGTTCAAAGCCAATGCCGTTCTAGTGGTGGCATGGTGGCCACGTGAGGCGTGGTTCACTACTCTCAGGGGCATGGCTTCGGACTACTGGAGGTTAATTCCACAACCAGCACTACTCACTCAGGAAGCAGGAGAGATTCGTCATCCAGACATCGAATCCCTGCATCTTACAGCGTGGAGGATTCTCCTGCAATAAAGGAAGTACTTGATCGGGCTAGGAAGCTGTCTACTGTCCTATTATACTCTTACAAATGGGCGTCCTTTGTAAAGTTTGCGCAATCCAGGAATTTGGCCACGGTTCCAGTTGCTTTAGAGATCCTGTTGCCTTTTCTACTTCACCTATTTGATCTAGAACTGGCACACTCTATGCTTAAGGTGTACCTGTCAGCTATTGTCTCCCACCAGCCTCTAGGCTCAGATGCTGCACATCTTTTTTTCTCATCCCATGGTCAAAACATTTTTATGAGGACTGTCCAGTATCTGTCCTCCAGTCAGGGCCCTAGTCCCTCAGTGGTCTCTTCAGACTGTACTGAAGGCCCTTACAAGGCGTCCCTTCAAGCCCATGGCTTCTGCTTCATTCAAGTTTCTCTCTTTGAAGACTGTTCTTGGTTGCCATTACTTTGGCGTGAAGAGCCAGCGATTTGGCTGCATTGCAGAATAACCCACCTTATCTAAATTTTTACCCTGACAGGGCTATCTTATTCTCTGATGTTTTCTTCCTCCCTAAGATAGTTTCTAGTTTTCATATTAATCAGCCTTTGATTCTTTCCACATTATTTCCTGACCCAACTTCCGATGTTCAGCACATGCTCCATTCCCTTGATGTTTGTCGTGCTTTAGCTTTCTATGTGTCTAGGATTAAGACTTTTTGTGCCTCTCCTAAATTGTTTTTATGCTTTTATGGATGCAAGATTGGCCACCCAGTCTCCTCTCAGACTATATCCCGATGGATTGTCTCGACTATCCAGCTATCATATCAGCTATCTGGCAAGACTCCTCCTGTTCTCTTGAGGGCTCATTCCACCAGAGCTATGGCTATCTCTACCACCTGATACCATAGACTTGCCATCTCTGACATCTGTAGATTGGCTACCTGGTCCACTCCATTGATCTTTGCTTCTCACTACAGACTCAGTGTCAGGGCCAAGGAGGCGAACTTTGGAAGGGCTGTTTTGACATCTGTTCTCCTGTGACAGCCCTCCTTCTGGTAAGTGAGCTTGCTAGTCACCCATTAATGTGGATTCATGCTTCTGAATTGTGGTGCTGGAGGAGACTCTTGAGTCCCCTGGACTGCAAGGAGATCAGACCTATCCATTCTAAAGGAAATCAAGCCTGAGTGCTCACTGGAAGGACAGATCCTGAAGCTGAGGCACCAATACTTTGGCCATCTCATGAGAAGAGAAGTCTCCCTGGAAAAGACGCTGACGTTAGGAAAGGGGACGACAGAGGATGAGATGGTTGGACAGTGTCATCGAAGCTACCAACATGAATTTGACCTAACTCCAGGAAGCAGTGCTCTGGTCCATGGGGTCACAAAGAGTTGGAAAATAGATAAATCAATAGATAAATCACAGGCTGGTAATCACTTATATTTGAATCAAATTAGTTATGACTTCTAAACTTTTTAAACTCTCTGTTCCATTCACCATTCTTACAGATCTCTAACTCGCTCTTAGTTCACTTTTAAGTTTCACACAGTCTCTCTCTACCGGAATCTCCCTCAGACTCCATACACCAGCCTTTATATCTAGCTCCCTCCCTCCTTGGCTCCGCCTTCCGTCCACTCATAGGCTCCATCTTCACTGGTCTGCTGTTCTAAACTTTTTAAACTCTCTGTTCCATTCACCATTCTTACAGATCTCTAACTCGCTCTTAGTTCACTTTTAAGTTTCACACAGTCTCTCTCTACCGGAATCTCCCTCAGACTCCATACACCAGCCTTTATATCTAGCTCCCTCCCTCCTTGGCTCCGCCTTCCGTCCACTCATAGGCTCCATCTTCACTGGTCTGCTGTGACAGGTGTCCACTCATAGGCTCCATCTTCACTGGTCTACTGTGACAGGTGAGGGCAGGGCTGTTCACTACAATGACTAAAAGCTGAGGAGAGTACAAAACGAGTGGAGGGGAAAGTAGGGATCAAATTGTTCCTGCAAGGCTTTGATCCCTGCTTTCCCCTCCACTTGCTAATCCTTAGCAAAAGGAAAGCAGGGATCAAAGCGCTACAGGATCACTTTGATCCCTGCTTTCCCCTCTGCTTGCTAAGTCCCATGGGGCTTAACAAAAGGAGGGGGAAAGAAAGCAATCCTGTGGCTGTATAAGGGGGAAAGGGATCAAAACAATCATGCAGTTGCAGGATTGCATTGACCCCTTTCTCTCTCCTTTTGCTAAGCCCCACGGGGCTCAGCATGAAGGGAGAAAGCAGGGATCAAAGCGATCCTGCAGCTGTTTGATCCCTTTCCCCCTACACTTGCTAAGCCCCACTTAGATTTCTTAATTTTGGGTTAGAAAAGTGGGCAGCGTCTTATACACAGAAAAATACAGTCTATAATAAACTCTGGAATATTCCGAAGTTTTCTGCGCAGGTGCAGTTTAACCCATTAGTGTGAATTCACAGAGTACCACTCGAAGAACCAGAGTTACAGGTAAGTAATCTTTCTTTTTCCCTAGCTTCAGAAGGGACTCCACTAGATGCCCTTAAGAGACATAAGCTTTTTCCATACCCTGCCACCAGGGTATGAGTGTGCAGCTTCATCCATATTGTGTAAGCTAGCTCATCCTTCTCAGTGCTGCATGGTGATGGGCACCATCGAGCACTCTTCACTTCTCTCCAACTCTACCAAGTTCCTGGAAAGCTCCAAGAGGCTCACAGTAAGCTTTGCTTGGGCAGTGTCATGGCATGGTCCCCTGAGAACCAAAGTCTGTAGACCAAACCTCGGAGAGTTCTTCAGGAGCATTGGGGAGTGGCAATTCCTCACATTCTCTTTCCCTTGCTTTTTTGCTTTTGTGTATGTCTCCTCTCAGATCTTAGTTCCCTTGACAACCAGTTTAATGACAACATACAAACCCCACTGTGATGTCATATGTTACAGCATACTTAGTGGTTCACCATGGTGGTAAGGAAAGGACTAGGAAGAGTTAGCAGATAAGATACCTCAACTGGAAGGCACAAGAAAAAAAAACCCTAACCAAGTGTCTGCAGCCACTTGCTAAATTTATGGGGCACAGCACTTAATTTTTGTGACAGTTATTTGTGAAAGCATATTCAAATCAAAGTTATTGGCTACGATGAGATTATGGCTACCTGGTCACTTACTATCACAATGAGGACTCTATTCAGATCCTTCCAGACAAACCCACTAACAAAGGATTTGGAAGAATTTGACCACAATCTGAAATTTCTTTTGCTGATGTGCTGCTTAACATTGTGGTCGCCAGTTGCATGTGTGAGCTTGTCACTTAAACTGGATGGAGCAATACAGTCTCCACACATGGCTCATCAGTTGGAAAAAAGAAGTACTAATTTTCTCCGATATGGATTTGCAGGTAAGAAGGAGGCAGAGTACTCTAGGCATTGTGAGCTATCATGTAAATTAGAATTGTGAGTTGGGAAGATTTATTCATAGTAAAACTATCCCCAATCCAACTATTATGCTAATATTGCTGGTGACAAGTTCATGATCAACTTTGCTGAGTAGTATTTTCCCTGTATGCATACTAAATAAACCCAACTATGGGAAATCCTGTTATGTGCTCTGTTTTCTTGTGTCCCATATGCAAATTTTAAATTTTCATGTCTGCGGTTTTTGGTCATTAAAAATACCTTTGTTTCAGCACTTATTTGGATCATTCGGAAAGGCACTGTGCCTTCTTAAAATATTTTAAATGGGTCAGAACTAAGAACCAA